AAATTTTCATAACAATTTTTTTCTTTTAACCTCAATTAAATATTAAAAAGAGAAAATTTATTGTTAAAGCATATATATTAAATAGAGGCAAAGTTGAGAATTCATTAAATTTTTAAATAAAATTAATGAGTTTTAAAATTTTTCTTAATTCAAACGAAATATGTAAAAAATGACTTGTAAATAGAATTAAAAAAATATATTTAAAAAGAAACTACAATAAAAACTTGTGTAAAGTTAAAAGATCAAAGAAATGCTTAAGCCTGTTTTTAAAATAAAGAAGAGATATATGAAATTAAGATAAAATATAGAAGAGGGAAAAATAGAAATTGTTTCTTAAGTTTTAAAGAAAAGTGAGTTTATGTGAGATCCATGGTAAAAAAAAACCATTAAATAAAAAAAATCTGGGGTGAAAATAGAACTCATAATTTAATTAATAAAATTTATTTACACATGGAGAATTTTTTTCTATATATATTTTTATTTGTAAATTTTAAAAATTTATTTTAAAAACCATGCACAATTCATAGTAAAAATTGGCGCTTGATGTAAGATTCTTAGTAAAATTCATATATAAGTGTTAGATACTCAGAAAAAAAAAATATTTAGAGAAAGTATAAAAAAATTCATAGATAACCTAATGAGTTTTATTTTGAATTTTAATTTACTCAAAACAAAAAAATTATTCAAATTATAAATAAAATAATTTATTATTTTAAATTTTATATGTATAAGATAATAAATTGTAAAATAAGATATAAATCTAAGTAACAAATTATAAAATAAAACATTTTATTGTTAAAATTAGAGGATAACACATGTCCTAGAATAATAAATTATTCTTTATATTTTTAAATTCACAGAGTGACAAATTTTTTAGTTATCTGTTTAAAAATAAAACAAATTGTTGTATATATTTTTAATAAAGGTGGGTATATGTTTGTGTTTTTACCATGTACAAGGATAACAAAAAATTCTAAAATCAAACAAGTTGTCATTTACAAAATTTTATTTTATTTTAAAATAAAAAATTATAGAATAAAATGTGTTTGAATTCAAAATTTATATGAAGAAAACATAGTTTATGATAACAATTTTTTCTATATATTTGTCATTGGCAAGTATGAAAATAAAACAAGCTATCGCTCAATATATGAAAATACATGGGGCAATGAAATTTTAAAAAAATGAATAAGTTAGATTATGCTTTAAGTTGCATGATGTGAGAAATTTTAAAATATATTGATATTGTTTAATATGTATAAGGGCAACACAATACAAAATAGAAATTCTTCATTAAATTTTAAAGAAAAGGGAGCATACATGAGATACGTAGTTAAAAAAGTGGGCAAGGGACATACTATTAAAGAAAACATGGGGTGAATATGGAACCCATAATTTAATTAATAAAATTTATTTACTTATGGAGAAATTTGTTTGCTATTTATATATTTATTTGTAAATTTTAAAATTTTAGATAAGGTGAAGAAAACAAAATAAGATTTTTATAGTTTAAAAGACCATGTATGATTCACAGTAAAAAATTAATGGTAAATATAATATTCTTAATAAAAATAATATATACTCCCTCCATTTAAAAATGTAAGATATTTTTAATTGAATCTCATCCTCAATAAAGTAGTCATCTACTTTTAAATTAATCTTATCTTTTCATATTTATTTCTATTAAACATTCTATAATAAATATAAATTCACTATTAATAGAGGCACTTTTATAAAAAAGATAATGATTACATCTCAAAGGACTAAAAATGCCTTATATTTTTTAACATCTAACTCCTCAAAAAATGCCTTACATTTTTTAATGGAGGGAGTAGGTTTTAGAAAAGTAATAAAATTTAAAAATTTGTCTAGAGAAAGTATAAAAAGTACATGTGTAACTTGGCGGATTGTATTTCAAAATTTAATTTACTCAAAATAATAAATAATAAGTAAAATAATTTATTACTTTGAAAAAATATATATAGGATAATAAATTGTAGAGTAATATATAAAGCTATGTGCCAAATTATAAAATGACATATTCCATCGTTTAAATTAGAGGATAACACATGTTCTAGAATAATAAATTATTCTTTATATTTTAAAATTCACAGAGTGACCAATTTTTAAGTTATTTGTTCAAAAATAAAATAATTTGTTGTATATATTTTTTGACATAGACGAGTACACTATTATTTTACTATGCACAAGAATAAAAAAAATTCTAAAATAAAGTAAGTTTTTATTTATAAAATTAAAATTTACTTAAAAATAAAGCATTATAAAATAAAACATCTGTAACTTCAAACTTTTTTATGAGAATAACAAATTTTTCTTTATATTTTCATTCCCATGAAATAATATATCATACAATAGTTTATATGAGAATAAAATAAGTTGTCTTTCAACCCATGTAAATATATTGGGCAATAAAATTTTTAAAAAATAATAAGTTATTTTATATTTCAAGGTATCAAAGGTGGGAAATTTTAAAATCTATTGATATTTTTTTAATATATACTCTCTCTAGTTTTTATTGTAATATACTTTCAATTGTTTTACGTATCTTAAAAAATTTATTTTTTTAATATCATAAAAAAATTATATGTACTTCTTTTTTCATCATTGACTTTTAATAATAATACAACTATAAGTAACCTAATGAGTTTTATTTTGAAATTTAATTTATTCAAAATAATAATTATAAATAAAATAATTTATTATTTTTAAATTTTATATGTTTAAAATAATAAATTGTAGAATAAAATATAAATTTAAGTGTTTTAAAAGTAATTTAAAATTATTTTATTAAAATTATAAATAAAAATAAAAATAAATTATATTGAACAATCTATCTTTTATTATATTAAATTCATATTTCATTAAGTTTTTTTACATGCATGATTGAAATTTTATTTTAGCAAACTTATATATAATAGAAAAGAAGCCTCTACAATAAAGATAAAATAGAAAGGGAGGACAATATATTTTATTTTAAATTACAAATACTCTAAAATTATTTTTAAATTTTTATAATTACTTTATTTTTATATTTTATATATTAAAATATTTTTGTGTATTGCATGGGGATTAAATTTAGTTACTATATATGAATTTAGAGACACCATATTCAGACCACATGCATAATCCTTAAAAAAGAAAAAGAAAAAGAAACGCAGCTTGTTATATATGATTTTTTTTTTCTAACCACCTACAAATGATAATCTAGTGCAGCTTGGTACGTACACATGACTACTAAGTTATAATGACCCTAGAATAATTAGCCTATCAATGCATTGTTGTTTGGAAATGCAGGAAATATTCCACTGATTGTCCAGTACAGGCGAACTTGTTGGCCCTTGCATCGCACCTGCAGTCTTATAACTATTTAAAATAAAAATAAAACAACAGATAAAAATTAAAATATAAATTGTGGCGCAAGACAAGTGGCCCGAGGGATTGAAAACTTATTTAATTATTATTTCATTTTATTATCTTTCAAGTAAAAATTTACTTAAAGGTGCAATTTAATCAAAATTAAATAAAAAATACATCCATTTCACCACATATCAATTCAGTAGCACTTAATATTTTATTATATGATACAGTGTTTGCCAGTCAGTAAAAATACAATGCCGGACTTTCAAATATTTATTTTTTCTTTATTAAGCTGGTAAGAATATATTCTCTATAAACAAATATTACATGAATTTGACATTGTCAAGTTATTCAACTCTGGCTCAGATTTAATTTCCTGTGCTGGCACATACATAATTTTTATACAATAATTAAATTTTTACGTGTCGAATCAAAAGTAAATTAATTTAGGTATGGCTAACCTAGTGAACCTCAAAATTGGCTATTTGCGCGATGATTGGTTACAATAAAACGTTGGGGAAAAAACCCCAAAAGCTAAAAATTTTAAATAATACGATCTGAATTTAACAAGGATAAGTAGATTATTTTTAAACATACTTAATATCAAAGTTAAACATGGTATCATGCACCATTCAATTAAGGACAAAATAAAATTTAAAAAAAAGAGAGAGAAAAAAATGAGTGAAAGATGAAAAAACAGGAGATAAAAAAAAGAAAGAAAAAGAGAAGAAGAAAAAAAAACCTGAGGCATTTGAGAATACAAAAATACAGGTTTCAGGCAAGAAAATGAAAAAATAAGAAAAGAAAACTATTAAAGGAAATATTGGTGATAAAAAAGATAAAGAATTCCAACATCTAATAATTAAAAAAATGAACTAAGGATATATAAAAGTTTATGGTGTGTATAATCAAATGGTTTAAGTTATTTCGGTGAAATAGATTATAATCTACCCTTAAACATATTTAGTATCAAAGTTTAACACGCCGCATTTAGATATATAGAATAATGCACAACACATTCTACAACAGTGCATTGAACTAACTAACTTGTAATTTTGGTGCAGTTCACTCTTTGTCCAATATTGAACCAAGTTTTTAAGTACATGTATCTCATTCTTTATAGTTTTATAAATTGGTTAACGTGCAATAAAAATTGGATGAACCAGCAATGAACATACATCCCACTATTCATCAATACACATACATGAATCACTTTGTAACATTTAATTTTCTTTCTGGACCAATTAATATTTTATTGAATTAGAATATACAATCCACTAATGAAATTTCTTTGAACCAACAAACGGCTTCATAGATTTTTCATATTATAATTTTTTTTAGAAAATGACACCATATAAATTTCAAATTAATTGGTTGACAAAATTAATATTAAAATTAATACAAAAATTGTGACGAAGTAAAAAAATAATATCATAATTATGATATAATACAATATTTGAATAATCAGGGTTTGATCTCAAACGGTTCTTAAAAGTCACGCCCTCGTGGAAATACAATTATTTTTTTAAAAAAAAATACTGTATTCGAGATTACAAATAGTGTAATTTAAATATTTAATATTGGGACCAACATGAAGGTTTTAACTCTATACTTTTCCAATGAGCAAATTCTGGTTCGCGGGTGTTCACGTGTCTGTGGCAGCCACACGTCTTCCCTTCTCTCAACCATGCCACAACGGCTCCGGTACGCTCTCCTTAACCAATTGCCTCCAATTCTCGATTTTCCGCAGCTTTCTTGTCTTAATTCTACTGATTTGATGGTAGACTAGCTGTTTGAAACGAATAGAGTTTTAGGCTGCCATTGATCTAGCTTCCAGATTTCAATAGATTTTTTTGGTTTTTTTGGAATCTTGCCTTGTTAAATTTGCTACACACGCATTACAGTAAGGATCGATTTTTTCCACCCCTGAACGACTTGTGTCTTGAAAGTTGAAATTCTATTTCCCCCTCTCCCCGGGTCTTCAAATGGATTGTTGGACACTATTCTGAAAGTGCAAGGACTTTTCGTCCATTTCCTATGACATAATCATTTTACTGATTCTTGCATGTAGACATTTGTCTTTTCAAATGCATTGCCATGCAAACACTTTGGAATTTAATGGCTGTTTTTTTTTTTTTTTTATGGTTCCTTGTGTTTTTTCCCCTTTTTGATTCACCATCGGTACTCTAGCTCCAGTCAACGGTTGAGCTGCGCGTCCTGCCTCTTGACATCGTTAATTGCGACTTGGAAGTGGGAACTACTCATTATCTTTTGGATCACTTTTTTTAATGCATATTTTACTCGTAAAAGCATTTTATGATCGTGTGCCGATAGCTTTTCATGAACACAATGCGCTTCGTTTTCTGTACAAAAGAGGTGGTTGGTAACCATAAATTTCTGTGCTGTTTTGAGGGCAATGATTGATGCATTGAAACTAATCAATCTATCATATTCGACTATTCATCAAGAAGTTTTTACTACCTTCACAGCGCTTCATGATCGCAAGTGGGGAAAACTGGTTTAACACTCATGCTAACTCAGATCCACAAACTCGCTGCAAAATTGTGAATCCGTGAAATTGTATGTGTTACTCATGATAAGAATGCATATATTTTAATGGTTATCTCCTGACATGTGTAAACTCGAGACAAATTTATGAGTACAATTCAACCCCCCTTCCAACCAGTAGAAGAAGAGAAAAGAGCTTATTTAAAACTCTCAAGTTTGACAGCCTTATTTTTTACTTTGTTACTAAATTGTTTTTCAATTTGGTTCCTTCATAGTTGCTTGATTTTACACGGAATACTGATTTATGTGATTTTTTTATTCTTGGCATTGGTAATATATTGTAGTTTTTATATGATGTTGTTTTCTTCTACATTAAAGATTAAAGATGCTGGGCTTATCTTCATTTCCCCCCTTGTTTCAGGAAGTAACTGCTTTTGACAAGAGAAGACAATGGACTTCTTATTTAAGGGAATGGCCGAGGATAGATCTGAGTGCCCCTTTGATGTAAAAGACATCCAAAAATGCCCATTTTTGAGGAACATCAATAAAGCCACAAGCTTCCCCTTTCCTGTGAGTTACTTATCTTCATGCCATTTCTACCAATCTATATATATAATAATACTTAAATTTCAATTTGTGTCACAATCTTTTAGCTAATGGTTTCTATTCTCATGTTTAGGTGCGCAGAGCCCATGGTCCTATATTTGAGGATTGTCCCAATTTTGACTTGGCATTTAAGCTCTTTCATGGAAAAGATGGGGTCATTCCCCTTACTGAGAGATCTAACTTTCACAATGATAACAAAGAGCCTGATCCCCTGCCTCCTTTCAATCCTTTAGCAGCAAAAGCTGCTACCATAAGTCTTTCGGCCTTCGGTCCAGGTGGTCCTTTCAGTTTTGGTAATTTTTCTGACAAGTGGAAGAAGCAAAAGAAGGCTGATTCGTCAAACAAAAGGGAGCCTTCACCTCATGTAAGTATTTTTTTTTTTTTTAATCTGGTTATTTTACTTCTAACAAGCAGTTCAGCAAATAGAACTCTAAAGTGATATGCAAGAGAAAAATTTCACCTGTCTTCTTTTCATAAGCACCAATCCTTGCAAGATGTTTGCTAATTATTTTTATTTATGTCCATTTGATTAGCAATGATATTGCTGTCAGGTTTGTGGTTCATAGGGCAAGGTTTCAACGTACTTCTTGAAATCCTTTATTTTTTATTGCCAATCAAGCATGAATTAATTCAATTTACTTTGGAGATATGGCAAAAACTTATATAGCTTTTACTTTGCCCTGCTGAGCATCATCCAGAAAGAAGATTTGTCAGAGCATGAGGCGCTTGGAAATGAATGGTTACAAAAGGGCAATTGCCCAATCGCCAAATCTTATAGAGCTGTAAGTAATGTCCTCCCCCTTGTTGCCTCAGCTTTCCGGCCACCACCTGGCATGAAGCTTAAATGCCCGCCAGCAGTTGTTGCTGCAAGGGCGGCTCTTGCTCGCACAGCCTTTGTTAAAAGCTTGCGTCCTCAGCCACTTCCTGCAAAAATGCTTGCCATTGCAGCACTGGGGATGGCAGTTAATGTCCCCTTGGGTGTATGGAGGGAACATACGACAAAGTTCTCTGTGTCATGGTTTGCTGCGGTGCATGCAGCTGTTCCCTTCATAGCCATGCTTCGGAAGTCAGTCCTGATGCCTAAATCAGCAATGGCATTGACAATCGGAGCTTCTATCCTCGGGCAGGTTATTGGCTCGAGAGCCGAGCGCATTAGGCTGAAGGCAGCAGCCAAAGAAGAAAGAGGGAAAACTGAGACCACCATTAAAATGGCAAGCTATAATCATCTCAGTGATACTAGGGGTAATCTCTGTGCTGCAGAAGGGATGGTGATCCGCTCACTTCAAGTGAAGGATGCTGGTCCCACTTCAGCTGCCAGTGTCTGTTGTTGAACTCCCTGTGACCCTCGAAGAGAAAATCCAAAGTATCTTGAATGATATGATCATGATAACCTGAGATGGTGATGTAATAAAAGATTATAAGGAACTATCCATGTGTTAATGAGAACGGCTTTACATTCTCGCAGGTAGTTATTCCATGCGAAAGGTATCTGGGTATATCTTTGGTATGCTGGATCTTAATATATTTTAATACTGAATGAATTCTTATGGAAGCTTGCATGTCTTGCCCTGATCTAGACCTTGAGAATTGGCCCAAGGCATAGCATTGAAAAGTTGCTTGTGCTTAAATTTCAAGCAACTTGTTAATGTTAAAAGGTGCGCACTGTAAGCAACTACTTGAAGTTGTCCGTATTCTTGAATAATTTAGATTATCTATACCAAATAAATACACGGCCGGTAATTGGATGGAGATATATTGAAAGTGGGAAGTCAAACAAATTTCATGCGTTTTACATTGAAAGTTCTTTTAGGTCAAAAGGCCTCTTTCAATACCCTTGCAGGTCCATTTTAGTTCTAAAATCTTTTCAGCAGCAAACTTGGTCCTTAAAGCAGATCCAGAGAAAATAAAGGCTTTATGCATTTGGACTATTTTGTTGGGACTGTATTCACACTTGGACACTCTCGTCACTTTATAGGGTGATATTCATTTCCCCTCAAATGATATCTGCACTTGATTTTAAATTATTTTTAAAATATTTTAAATATTATATTAAAAATAAATATATATGAAAATTATTAAAAAACATTAAATTTCAACTGCCCAAAATATATTTAGATGATTAATTTATAAAAATTATAAAAAATTTTAATATTAAATTAGACTTTTCATATTACTATTGTATTATCCAACATATATTCGAATAGTCAATTTAAAAAAATTGTTAAAAAAATTAATATTAAATTGGGTTCATCAATTAAGTCTACGCTAACCAGGTTGGCAATGAGTAGATTTGTTAAAGATTTCTATATTTTTTTTACATATTTTTATTTTAATAAATATTCTCTCCAATCTTTATCATAAGGAATTTTCAACTATTTCATGCAGATTAAGAAAAATTAATTTTTTTTCTTAACATCATAAAACAAATGAGATGTACTTTTAATTTTTACCCTTAACTTTAAATTATGATACAACTATATTAAATACATTCATCGTAATCAAGAAAGGATAAAATTAAAGAAAATGATTTAATTATTACAAGTATCCTACATTTTGGACCAAAAATTACTTTTATAAAGTATCTTATAAATAGGATTATGGAAAATATAAAATAAAAATCAAAAGTTTAAATATGCATTGTTCAGATCTCATTAGTAGTGATGAGTTCCATGTTGTTCATTGTCTATTAAGAGTTAAAAACAGTCTACATTTAATATTAAAAAATTTTATAATTTTTATTTCCATAAATATAATATTTAAAATATTTAAAAAAATTAAAATCATCAATAAAAATCATTTGAGAAAAAATGAATGGCTAAGATCATCATACAGGGTGATAAGCAAATTTGTCCAGGAAAAGAACATTTATGGGTTCTTTGGTAGAACGGGATTAGATTTGGAAAAGTAAAAGTGAAATGGAACAGAAAATTTAGAGTCTTTGGTAAATAAGATTTTATTGCCTCATAGAACTAGTTCCATTAAAAAAAAAAGTGAAAGTGGGTTCCATTAGCATGCCATAGAACTCACTTCGATCCTCCTTTTTTCATTTTCCATTTTTACCCTAAGCATCTCTCTTTTAACATGTTCGGTCCAGACTTCCTCACCGACCATGTTCATTAATCGTGACATGATGGATGATCCAAATCGACAAGGTTGATGACTACTGTGACTGGATCAACAAGGACCTCACCCCCTACAACCATGATTAAACCTCATTTAGATTTATTCTTCCTATGGCTTTCAACTCTGTTGATTTTTTTTTTTGAAGATTCCTATCAAGGTACCTCTAAAGAATCGAAATTGCTAAAAACTGCTTAATAGAATCAATACATTATAGACTACCTCCATTTTCTAATCTATGTACTTCTTTATTGTTAGTGAATAAAATTTATGAATAACTCATATTATTTGCCTATTTAGGCTAAAGAAAAACTCAGCAACAAACAAAGTCTTGGTCAATGCAATATGTAGCCCTTAACAACTAAGTAAAAAATACAAAAAATATAAAAATAAATTAATATTTATTTCTTATTTTCAATGCTCCTCCTCGATTTGGAACTGAAAATGTTGAAGTTTTCCATCTTATAACATTCTCTCATGATTTCCCTTTCCTAATGCTTTGGTAAGCACATTTGCCTGCTGTTACATAGATGAATTTTGATGTGCTTAATCCTTTCATGAAACATTGAGTTAGATGCAATTTGCATTGCTACTGTATTATCATAAAATATAACATGAGATGCATTATTAATTCTCAAATCTTTTAGCAAACTTGTCAACCATATTATTTCAAAAACAATACTTCTTAAGGCACGATACTTTGCTTCTGCAGAGGGTCTTAACATAGTGTCTTGCTTTTTAGACTTTCATGTAATAGGTGCTCCTCCTGACTTGATTGAAAAGCCTATTACAAATCTTGTAATTTCTACACATGCTCCCTAACTTGAGTCATAATACCATTCTAGATGTAGATTATCAGAAGAAGGAAAAAATATCCCTCTTCTTGTATCCTTCTTTATGTATTTGACTACATTCATTGCAGCTTTCATGTGAGAACTACTTGGGTTGCTCATGAATTGATTGAGTACTTGTATTGTAACACTTTAAAATTTTTCTCAAAACAATTAACTCAATCATGGTAAAAAAGTGTTTATCATGGTAAATAGAAGTCAACTTATCCTACATTTTTTTAAATAATTCTATAATTTAAAACACTACCATGATAGAAAATTATAAAATATAGCCTTATAAAATATTTTACCTTTAAAAATAACTATCATTGTAGAAAAGATTAAGCTAAATAAATAAGTATTATTATGGTAAGTAAAATTTAACTACTTAAATTGTTATTTCTAAAATTTGGGATCCCAAAATTTAAAAATAATATAAGTGTGAAAGGCTCAAAAGATCACTTTAAAATTAAGAATATGATAAACCTAATAGAATAAGAAAAACAAAAACAGTTATACATTTTAAGATCTTAAAACCACCTATAATTTTTGCCAAATAACACAAACTAATTTTTAATATTGCTAATACACATCTACTATCATAGTTGGGTAACAATCACGCAACACATTTTATATCAATCACAATCATAGTTAGATGGCATCCTTCTACTACTCTTTCTATCTCTCCTTTCTTCCTATTCTCGAGCGGTCGTTTTTCATTCCTAACAGTAGTCCATGGAAGAACTACACTTATGGGTTAGGAGAGGCATAACAATATAATACTATTCCTATTGCTCTTTAAGTTTCGTAAAATAGTTGGACACTGTTACAATCTTACTCGAGAGAATGAGTAGAATATAATTCATTGTGATCTTATTGCTTACTTGTCATTATCTTTAAGTTTTCTATAAAATAGGAGACCGTCCTGGTGATTGGAGATGTAGAGCTTGTTGGCATTCTAATTTTAATAGGAGATGGAATGTCAACATTATGGCTACGAAAAGATAGGAAGTACAAACCCATTTCTCTACTTTTAAAGACATTGAGACTTTATTATTGCTAGGGGTATGATGGAGGACTGGTTCTATCTAGCCCCTTATTGCAAAAAATTCAATCATGTCATAGATACAAGGTGTCGTTACTATGACACACTTCGTCATTGTTAAGATTAGTGATCAAGTATGAGTTCTTCCTTGCTAACTACTTAGAGGTAAGGGAATTGGTTTTACAAGATATGCAAGGCCTATAATTATGAATTCAGGCAGAGTTATTTCACTAATAAAAAACTAAGAGTGGACTGAAAAAGATTACGTTCAAAGTTCTTTACTCAAGAGTTTAAAGTTTTTTGATTATATTATTTTCTTTCATTTGATATTCTGATACCATATTGAAAGTAAATAAAATTCATGAATAATCTATATTATTTATTCCTAACAATAGTTAATGAAAGAACTAGACTTACGAGTTAGAAAAGGCATATAATGTAGCACTATTCCTATTACTCTTTAAGTTTCATAAAATAGTTGAACACTGTTAGAATCTTACTCTAGAGAATGAATAAAATACAATTCATTGTGATCTTATTGCTTGCTTGTCATTGTCTTTAAGTTTTATACAAAATGGGAGACCATCCTGGTGATTGGAGATGTAGAACTTGTTGGCATTCTAATTTTAATAGAAGATGGAAGTGTCAACGTTGTGGCTATGAAAGGACAGGAAGCATAGACCTATTTCTTCACTTTCAAATACATTGAAACTTTATTATTGTTAGGGGCATGATGGAGGACTGGTTCTGTTCAGCCCCTTATTGCAAAAAACTCAATCATGTCATAGATACAAGGTGTCGTTACTATGACACACTTCATTTTTATTGAGATTAGTGATTAAGAATGAGTTTTTCCTTACCAGTTACTTAGAGGCAATGGAATTGGTTTTACAAGATATGCGAGGCCCATAATTATGAATTCAGGCAGAGCTGTTTTACTTATAAAAAATTAAGAGTGGACTGAAAAAGATCACGTTTAAAGTTCTTTACTTAAGAGTTTAAAGATTTTTTAATTATATTATTTCCTTTCATTTGATACTTTGATATCATATTAAAAGTGAATAAAATTTATGAATAATCCATGTTATTCATTCCTAACAGTAGTTAATGGAAGATCTAGACTTATGGATTAGAAAAGACATAATAATAAAGTACTATTCCTATTACTCTTTAAGTTTTATAAAATAGTTGGACATTGTTAGAATCTTACTCTAGATAGATAATGAATAGAATATAATTCATTGTGATCTTATTGCTTGCTTATCATTTTCTTTAAGTTTTCTACAAAATGAGAGACCGTCTCAGTGATTGGAGATGTAGAGCTTGTTGGCATCCTAATTTTAATAGAAGATGGAAGTGTCAACGTTGTGGCTATGAAAAGATAGAAAGTATAGACCCATTCATCTACTTTCAAAGACATTGAGAATTTATGATTGTTAGGGGTATGATGGAGGAGTGGTTCTATCCAACCCCTTATTGTAGAGAACTCAATCATTTCATATATACAAGGTGTCATTACCATGACACATTTCGTCTCTGTTGAGATTAGTGACCAAGTATAAATACTCCTTTGCCAGTTACTTAGAAGCAAGGAAATTAATTTTACAGGATATGCAAGGTCTATAATTATAAATTTAGGTATAGTTGTTTCACTTATAAAAAATTAAGAGTGGATTGAAAATAATCACATTCAAAATTCTTTACTTAAGAGTTTAATTTTTTTTAATTATATCATTTTCTCTCATTTGATACTCTGATACCATATTAAAAGTAAATAAAATTTATGAATAATCCACGTTATTCATTCCTAACAATAGTCAATAGAAGATCTAGACTTATGGATTAGGAAAGGCATAATAATAAAGTACTATCCCTATTACTCTTTAAGTTTCATAAAATAGTTGGACATTGTTAGAATCTTACTCTAGAGAATGAATAGAATACAATTCATTATGATCTTATTGCTTGCTTATCATTTTCTTTAAGTTTTCTACAAAATGGGAGATCGTCTTGGTGATTGGAGATGTAGAGCTTGTTGGCATCCTAATTTTAATAGGAGATGAAAGTGTCAACGTTGTGGCTATTATGAAAAGACAAAAAGTATAAACCCATTTCTCTACTTTTAAAGACATTAAGACTTTATTATTGTTAGGGGCATGATAGAGGACTGTTCTATCCATCACCTTATTATAGAAAACTCAATCATGTCATAGATAAAAGGTGTCGTTACTAGAGTACACTTCATCTCTGTTGAGATCAGTGACCAATTATGAGTTCTCCCTTGCTAACTACTTAATGGCAAGAGAATTGGTTTTACAGGATACGTGAGACTCATAATTATGGATTTAGGAAGAGTTGTTTTGCTTGCAAAAAGCTAAGAGTTTATTGAGAAATATCACATTTAAAGTTCTTTACTTAAGAGTTTAGAAATTTTTTTGTTGTATCATTTTCTTTCATTTAGTACTCTGATATCATATTGAAAGTAAATAAAATTTATGAATAATTCATATTACTTGCCTCTTTAGGTTGAAGAAAAGTTTAAAAACAAATAATGTTTGAGTTTATACAATATATAGCTCTGAATAACCAAATAAAAAATACAAGAAAGATAAAAATATATTAATATTTATTTCTTATTTTCAACATTCTTTCACATCTAGTTTCCTTTACCTTCTGTCTTTCTATTTTTTTTTTAATTTTGAAAGTCTCAATTTTAAGTTTGATCCCTTTAATCTTCTTAAAATTGTAAAGATGGTTGAAAAAATGATTTTCTTAGATAAATCTGCTAAATTTCTAAGGCACCTTATTTTGTTATTCAGTCTTCATTTCAAATGCGATAATGACGGCATGGATATGATAAAACTTGTTTGATTTTTTTAAATTCATGGCCATTATAATCTTTTGAAAATATAAATATATATTAAATAAAATTTTTACACGTACCAAACATAATTTTAATCACACCTCCACTCCACTTTTACTTTCATAAAAAACTATCAAATGAATTTTGACTTATTTATATAATTCTATTATCAATCTTTGGCACATATATTATTCTAAAAAAATCAAACTATCAAACAAGCTTTGAAAGATAATACAATAATTATTACATTTGGTTAGTTATTTATCATATTCATATTTCAAGATATTTTTTATTATTATCCCATGAAAAATAACAATGACATGGCTGATTTGTTGATTGGCATGGATCTCACCATGTATATTAAAAATTAAAAAGTATCATTTAAATCATGTGAATGCAATCAGTTATCTTATTCGATGGGTAATATCTTATTTACCCAAAAATAAAAATAAATAAGTATCTCACGCGTCACAAAATTATATCACACAATACAATATTGTTCACTATTCAGACGCGCGTGAAGACTGAGGAGTACCGATGAACCTCCCACAATCAAAACCCTCGGCAGCGGCGGGCCTCCTCAAGTCGACCAAGCGTAGCCGCTGCGTTGTCCTCCACTCTAATGGCTGTGAGTATCTTCTTACTTTCTCTAAGTTCCTAAGTAGCAAATGTTATTTTCGATTGAGTCAACCTGGAAAGATATTTGAAGCACCCTTTCCAACAATATATTCTGGTCGACATCCCCCTCTGGTGCCATCCCGTTTGGCTGAGTCTTGGATTCTATGGAGGCTTTGATCTTGGCCTTTGCATTTTCTGTTGGTCGGGCTCGTGATGTTTATAAAAAATTGCGCCACGGAAAATTTCGTCAACTACCCCTAAATATTAACACGTCTTGGTTGTACATGTCTAGTTTCGTCTTAGGTTTGTCATATTTTGAATTTTTGACACGTGTCATCGGCTGCTAGCACAGTTTGTGAATAGAACCCAAGTTTTCTTTGTTCAGACATTCTTCAAGTATTTTCATTGTTCGATTTGTATGCTGAAAATGCCAATGAACTGGGAGCTTATATGGTACCAGCGACCAGCCTCGGTTTTTAATATTGAGTTGAACAGGATGTCATATTGCATTTATGAATTTATTTTATTTCTTCTTGGATTCATTTACTCGGAATGATATTATTCTACTTTCTTTGCGTTCTAATTGCTTTTTTTTTTCTTGCAAACTGCAGACCATACCAGTTAATCCCAAGCCTTTCCTGAATAATTTGACTGGGAAGCCTGTTATAGTAAAATTAAAGTGGGGAATGGAGTATAAGGGTATGGTCCTTGCCAGATGGTGTAATGATTTACCTGTTCCATCGCAAATAAAATTATGGTTCAGGATTTATTCATTGGATCTAATACTTAATGTATTTTAATCTTCATTTTGGTTTTCAGGTGTTTCGGTTGATTCCTATATGAACTTGCAGGTACATTTTTCAAAGAGTGTATATGAACTACTTTACATGGCTTTTGGCTGATTCTACTGTTGTACCTCAAAGAGTCTTATAAAATTATTTTCTTTTAAGCTTTGTCTTCGTTAAATTGTATGCAAACTAGATTTTTGTTGGTGGTTTACAATTGCGTGATAGAAACTTTTTGACCAAAGGATATATATTGGTTTGAGTTTGGGTGGGAAATTCAAAATTCAGATTCTAATACTAAAAAATGGAGAGAGGAGATAAAATAAAAATAATAAAGACAGAATAGATGCATGGAACCCAATGCAAGCTGGACTGTTTATGTGGCTTGGGAATCATAAATCATAGAGAGTTGCCGGGTTCATGCCTTATGAATGGTATAGATTGTACGAGATTTTATAGATATATATTATACAAATAAAGGCATGTTCGTATTATCCTTTCCATATTGTTTTACTGCATGAGGCTGGAACTAAATCAATATGGATACATGTAATACGTCCAAAAAGTATAATATGTGGGGTCTAACGGTCTAAGGTACTGGAACAGTGGGGTATATTATATTAAAGGCTAAAATGCACCTTCCCCTACATCGGTGGGGAAAAGTTTATTCCAAAAATTCCAGACGAAGTAAAAATATTGAAATACGACAAATTTTAACAAATGTTCTTATGTGATGTTCATGTATTTAGAGGAAAAATATGGTTTAGTCAGTTCAAGTTCAGTTTTGCAAATCTATGTGATGATTTCATTTATTTCTGAGCCTGGAGTTTAGGGTTTGACTGAGGTCTGAGCATGTGAACTATCTTGAGTTCGTATCTTGTTTTTTACTCTTTTTCTTTTAGTATTGAGTTTAAAGTATAAGATAAGTCAATTTAATGGTTTTGAACTTAATGCACTGTAGTTGTGACCAAGACAAAGTGTATTATACCTTCTTAAAATGTGCTAATTGCATGAGAAAAAAAGTTGAAGTTCACCGCCTATTAACGCTTTAACTGTTTATGAAAGTTTAGGGGGTACTCTGCAAGTTTGAACTTGGACTAAATTTGTAATTAGGGTAAACATGAATGCATAGAGCCTTTTTTTACCCAATATGAAATATTCAAAAGAGGTGCTGAAGATTTAATAAAATTTGTGGAATCTGTAACAAAAGTGGAAATTAAGATTAAAATTAGTTATTTTAAACTTTGATTTTTGCTCAAAACCCTACTGATAGTGTCATGGTGACTTTAATATGATCTCATGCATACAGTTTGCAAATACAGACCCAATAGCATGTTGTACTCGGCATATTAGTGCTGTGTAGTTTAACAGTATAGTTGCTTATTCTTTGCCCGTTCCAACTAACCAAATTTTTGGAAACGTGAAATAAAGACTACGAAGGTCCATAGTAATTTAAACGTTTTTGTTCGATTGTGACAGATTAAAACTAGAGTTCAGCTTTCAACATTTTTTTTCCCGATGTGTAAACGTATTTGCCAGCTTGCCAACACAGAAGAGTACATAGAGGGCCAGTTCACTGGAAATTTTTAATCAGGTACCTATCCTTATCGTGCTATTTTCAAGTGGCTTTCGTGTTTTGCTAGCGAGCATAGATAAAATCTTTTGGTGTTGTAAATAATGAAACGTCTCGGACTGAGTGCTGCCCCTCTCTGCTTTGATGCCATGCAATTTGTCTTCTAAATCTTGTTCTGTGTTAATCAGAACCAAGTTATCTTTGCCTTGAAGGCTGTCAATCTGATTCCATGTTGTTTAGAACCATGATCATATATCCTCTTACCGTAATTCCCCTCATTATTGCAGTTCTATGATTAAATATTTAACGATTAAAGGTTTAGGAAATGCAGTTATAGGTTGACCAAATATAAAGTTTAGATAGAGCGAGGTTCTCGAAAGAAAATGTGAGACAGATTGTCGTGTTGTGCCAAAACTCTTTTAGAGAGCATGGGCATTTTGGTATTACCTGTCTTTGGGATGTAAATAAAAGACGTCAAACTCCGGTATCTGTAAACCAAATACATGAATTCCGGCAATGTATATACTGGACCCTTTTAAAAGGGTCAGATTGACTGATTACCAGAAGTAGTCAAGTCTTGTTTCATTATTTTTATTTCTAGATGCAACGATGTTCTCTACCTACGCGGAGTACCAGAGGATGAAGAAATCGAAGATGCTGAACAAGATTAGAAGGACCAAAGTGCATAGTTGCCATCTTACCCTCAATCAAATGCTGCATTGTTTGTACTTGATCAATGACGCCCTTCTGTGAATTGGGTGACTACGAACAACTTGTCCATGTACGGCGGGTAAATCTCATGTCAGTTAACAAATTCTTTAACCACTCAAATTCTTTAGCTATATCTGCTAATGCTGTAAACACTAATTAACCATCCATGTTTTTTTAGTTGTGCGAAATTTAGTCTAGAGCTAGGTGTTGATATCATTTATCCAGAAAAGGCATGACTAACATCACATCTTATCTTTTGTGAAGTCCATGAAATTACTGTTACTTCTACAGTTCTTACTGTTTTTTCTACAGTAATACATATTCTCTCCCTTGAAAAATGTGAAGTATTTTTTGATGGATTGGACTGTTATGCAGTTTTTACTAGGATTGTCATCAATTAATGTGTGTGTTTTTTTAAATGCTTGTAATAAATAATATTTTATACTTATTTTTAAGTAAAATATCCTACTAAATAAAGATTCAATTAAAAATGTTTTAAATTTTTGAGTGGAGGAAATATGTATGTATTTGTACTGTTTTATCCTTTCTCACAAAGAAACCAAAAAAAAAAAAACTTCAATGCATGCTCTTAAAGAAATAAGGATCAACACAACATATTATATTATTTTTTTATTGTTTACAAGTATTTTTTTTATTAATGACAATTCTTTTTTAAGAGAGTGGGACACTAAATATGTATATCTCTTCTAGCAGGAATTTAAATTTTGTTTTACCACATTACAATCCCCATTGGTAATATCTTATTATTTGTATTCTTTATTTAATTAATTTTTCAATCCACTCTTACGCAAAATTTATTATAGTGAAAAAGAAATACATCATAAATAAAAAAAGAATTATATACAAGTCTTATGACAATTAATTACTCACAAATTCATTGGCAACTAAGCTTTGAAGAATGACAAAATATTATGTTGGCATTTTCCTAAATTCAATTGTCAATGAATTTGAGAATAATTAATTATCTTGAGTAAGTCATAAAAAAATTTTTCCTTAAAATAAATCTTTCAAACCATTTAAAGTGTCCTGTTAAAGGAAGCTTTACAAAAGAAGAATAACAGTTAAAAATTAGTGCAATTAGTCAGCACGTGCAGCACCAGATTAAAGAGATTCAAGTGTAAGAATCTTCATGAAATCTCATGAAAATTTGGTAATCATTAAAAAATTGGACGGAAAATAATGCCTTTATGCCCTGTGTTCCCAATAATCTCAGTTGATTGCATTTCATCAACTGTCAACGATAAGAGATTTGCCTCAGTCCTTTCTTCGTGCAATTTGACATCTTTGCATAGTGAAGCGGGTGGTGGTGCTGAACGTATTTTGTCTTGTCAGCTAATGTTAATCGAAACATGTAAGAGAAGTAGAGAACTATATAACTGGAAGGTAAAAATGGCTTCATACAAACCTCAACTCCTCAGAGGAAGTAAATGATGCGCAGGTTTCAGCTTCACAGCACATTTCAACAAATTTTTTTCTCAACTATATAATTTGTACGGTGAACTTAAACAGACAGATGGATATGTTACCTTCCAGACTGGTACAAGAGACCGAACCATTTGGACATCTGATCGGGCTTGTGAGAGGGACCAATGCAATTTAAACTGCTGATTAAGAATCTCTTTCAAACCAAATTATTTCAATAACTTCAGTAAAACAACCACTCATTAGATAAACGTATTATTTAAGTGAATATGTTTGGGTTAACATAAGATAACCATCTACAGAAGCATCACCCTCCAGTTCACAAGTGCTTTGACGTTTAGTGCAATGAGCCTCGTGATTTGATGAAGCATCCAGTTCACTAGGAAGTTGCCACATCCAATCACATGAGACCTAACAAGGTTTAGTCAAGATCCTCATGCATGGTCCAGATGGTAAAGAATTTAATCTATAAATTATAAGGTCATGAGTTTAAATTCTACTGTCGATATGAAAACCTTATTAATGAATGATATGCAAATATTTGCATAAGTGCTTTTTATGCCTAGAAACATGCCCTAATCCTGTTAAACTTTTGAGACCCAATTCACCTGAACCTATTTTGCAATATATATATATATATATATATCTTCATACCTATGTCCTATAGCATATAGGTTGGATTGATGATTAAGATTATTGTGTGCAGATAGAGCCATACAGGGCTGTTTATAATTTTCGTCTAGGAGCCTAAAAATGAACTTCAGATAAGACAATATTAAGAAGTTTATCTCCATCATCAAGGTGACATGTTATAACATTGTGAGAGCACAAAAAATTACCATCAACAAACTGAGGTCTTGTCAGCATTCTTCTAAGTATGGCAAAATTCTATACAATATGTAAAGATCACTCAGGTATTGTTACCAAAAGTCCAAACTAACGCGATCATAGGTGCCTTTAAAATTTAAAGTATTAAATGGAACATTCTAATGCAGAGCCTTGTTAATATCCTGGTTAACATCACTATCTCCATTCAAGTGCTTCTCTTGCATTGAACCTGCAGAAGAACCGCCACTTGAACTTTGACGATGCATTGTTGTTTTGACTCTGGTACGTGCCTTCCGGCATGGACTGAATGGGGCTTTTGGAGTCTGCACTTCCTTCTTTTTCTGTTTTCTCTGCACATACAATAACTCATTTTCCATAGATTCCAAGGCTCTAACTGTCAATGGTCGGTTTCTTGTGCTCTGCCTCCTGGGATTTATATCAGCACCACCATCACCAGATATTCCTACAGGCTTTTGTATTTGCTCATGAGCATCACATGTAAAATTTGCATCGTTTAGCTTCAGGCGCTCCTCATCTTCCTCCATCATTTCACCATTTTCAGACTCAGGTGGAAGCTGGTGTGAGCTCAAGTTGATCAGTGGCTGTGATTCACATTTTTCAACTTCAGTGCAAGACATGCCCGGGCCACGGCAATCTTTGTTGAGAATGCTTCCTTTGTTGTCCTCTTCCATAACTTCAACAGAAAAGGCAATTAAGCACGCGGTTTCCTGGCTGTCTTCAGGAAGGCATGATGGTTGACTAAGTCCCGGTTTTTCAGATTTTGAGTCTTCTGAAGAGATCTCAAGGATACGGCTTGTCTCAGCCTTAGCACAAGCAGTCAATCTTCTACGTTTGATGGGAGGAGCCGCATGAGTTGAATGGCCAGATCTTGCTCTCCGACTGAATTGCTGCTTTACAGTCTTCTTAAGTTGCTTATCATCAGACACACTGATCTTTTGACTTTGACGCCTTTCCTCAATTTTGTGATCATTATTATTCATGCTATCACATGCCCCCTTTCTGTTGATAGATTCACCATCAGATGTGTCCCTATGGCAATTAACACTACTGCTATTATTTTTGTCATCTAATGGCGTAATAGCCTCCTTTTCACCAGGAGGAAGAAGAATCAGACAAGATCCCATCCACCTCTCTTGAAAGAGCAGTCATCTTCTTAGAAGCGCCTTTGAATTCAACTGGTACACATCTCAGTTCTCTAGATAACTTTCCACAGTGAACCGAACTAGTATCAACAACTGTGAACTTCGACAGCTTTTGGCTTATGCTATCAAATGTACCTTTCCTACGGTTTGCTTCACCCAAATGTTTGTCCCCCTTATCAGCCTTACCAGCAGCTTTTACCTCAATTTCACCCCCTGCATGGCCAGCTGAGTCACTTTCTTTTCCTCTCACTTGAATTGTTTGCAGGGAAGTTATTTTGAATCCAGGAGGTAAAGATCTCAGTTCCCTCAAATCAGATGACTTCCCCCCATGCTTTAAACTGGTATCAACAACTGTGAACTTCATGTGATCCGTTTTGAAAGAAGAAACTCGGGGTTTGAGGTAACAATGGCGATAACTATCAGATTGATCATCTTTATCCGATGCCCTTTCCGAAATCCATCCATCTTCTTCATTGCAGCTTCCGACTTTACCTTCTTCAAATTCAAGCTCAAGAAGATTTGGTTCAGATACTACTTTGCTCAATACATCACTGACAGAATCAAAGTAATGATCACCTTTCACAAGTTTTCTCCTCGAGAATTTTTTGACACCAGGGATAAGAAAAACCAGATAATCCCTGGAGCTTACAAAGCCTGGATTGTTGTTGGGTTGCTCAGAGTGCCAACCTCTGGCCAATAAGCGGGGCCAAACAGCTTCCCAAAAGAGATCGTTACTTTTGGCTTTGCTTAGCCGAAATCCTCCAGTCAAATATTTCATTATATCACTGGGTTCAAGGGAAGACCAAGCCTTGCTAGTTGGTGCACAAGGATGAATTGAAAACGATGGGTTGCTCTTAGGAGGTTCTGCAGCAAGGCTAGTAAGGTCTGCTTTATCCTTACCAATACCTACTACTTCCACAAGAGTGCTCAGTCCAACAGTAGACTTCAAAGAAAAGATGTAGTCTTGGAGTGAAGCTCTGCCCTCAGCATATGGCTTAGAAACCTGATTAGAGAAGAAAAATGAGAATTGAAGGACCGGGAAAAAAAAAACATTCTTCCATGCGAAAATTATTTTATTCTGTACTGCCAAATAATCATTGTTGCTGAGGTACAAAGTATATAAAGTTTAAGAAATAGCATCCTTGGTAAAGTTTGGTTAAGTATTCATTTTTCAAGATTAATAATAGCATTATAGGAATAGGAAATGCAAACTAGAAAACAACTCCAATCAAACAAACATGAGACCAAAACAAAATTAACACTGAAACCTCAAAGGTGAGGGTGTGTGTTCTCATTCTCACTCAAATATCCATAAAATAAGTCAATGTGTTCCTTAATTTCTGGCACAAGGGATTGAAACATTTGTACTGGAAGAGTCAGTGATTCACGCAGGAAATTTCAGATCCTTTAATTTAAAGGTTTATGATGACAATTTCATTCAAGAAAGTTAAAAAATGATGCATCACAGCTAGAAGTACTTTTGGCTTTTCAAGGTGCCAAAAAACAATTTAGAAATCATCTTTCCAAGTTTTAATCCCTCAGTCAAGCAACAGTATACAATTTAAGCCCAATTAAAAATTCATGAACAGAATAAACTAGGACTTTCCATATCACAATGCACAAGTATATCTCTTAAGCAGGGATTAGATTTCCCTCAGATGATATGTGACCCCTTATTTCTGATGGCCTGTATTCTACTACATAGTCAATCACCCATGAATAATCAACAGGCAATAATCATAGCACACAAAGGCCAGATTGGTGCTACCTAAAGTATCATTTAATCATCAAAATTACATGGAAGACCCATATCCCTATTCCTCAAGGTCAGCTAGAAGGTTGAAGATTTCCAGAAGGAGAATGAAAGAAATTGCAACATCATATAATGCAGAGATACAGACTTGGCTAATGATTAAGTAACAAAAATAAACATATTGCAGTTCATTAATTACATTGGACACAATGGGTTTAATGATAGCACAGCTGAATACCTGCAGCAATGTGTCTCGAACTTGCTCTGAAACCTTTGAATTTAAGCGAGACAATAGTTCATGTTGCCTCCATCCAGTAAAAAGCTTCTGGCCTGTCATACATTTTCTACCTTTTACCTTTCTACAATCTGACCATCTTCTATGTTCATCAGATTTATAAAACTTTCCATAATAAAATGACAGTATTTCCCCCATTCGTTTGTTCTCTAAAAACCTCTTTATCTGAATGAAATTCTTTCCAAATATAAACAAGCCAAGGAGAAAACTTCTAATGTCAGCATTGCTCCAGGAATTATTCAGTTTGCCGGGAGCTGATCCATAAGCTTTGCCTTGACCTTGTTGACAGGACTTTTTTGCTTCTGTTGTCACAGGTTTAAAAGTGATTGACCTGAATTCCTTTTCATTGTCTGATGTAATATTTGGTTTCACATCACTTGTTTCTGCCGGTCCAAGTACATTAACAGCACCATCATTGTTTCTAAAATGTTCCTGACCTTTGTTTCTACCATCCTTCACTTCATTATCAATCCATATGAGAGGGACAGGCAAACCCATAGCAAATGAAAGAGACATGTCATTCACAACTTCTGAATCAGCAGGATTCATCAGAAGTTTAAATCGTTCTGATTCAGGTGTCATGGAAGGAATTTCCACTTGATATTCATCACCAAGTCGAGGATTCAGCTGTGGGGCTCCAACTATGTCATTTATATCAGGAGAACTAGGAGGATTTGACTGTATATTACATTCATACTCCATGCAATTATTATCACAATTGACACAAACTAACTCCATCTGCAAAGAAACAGAGAAATAAAAAGAACGGACAATAAACTCAATCAATGCCTAAAAAGACAATATTATGAAGAATATGAAGATAATGTAATCAGGACATTATTCAACCATAATTTCCATGAGGGAGCCCCATGTTACTCATCAGCTATTTTACTCAGAAACACGTATGTACAAGCATCATAATAATAGGATATGTCTAGTTTTTATAACCACTAGTATTCTAATTTTAATATGCACTTTACTTTTTTAATAAAATTGATCAAACCTATATATATGCAGATTAGCCATAAAAAAAGGTATTGGATCTTTCTCTTTGCTTTTACCACCAATTTTTTAGTACTGACACATTTCTTTAATAATCAGATACTCTCCACAAACTGCATGAACAGCTTATTCAGCTTTAATGAAAACTATAAATCTCCAATAAAATGCGAGTGGATTTAAGAGATACTAATAGAGAAGAGGCTGTTTGCCCTTTGCACAAGCAGTACATACAAGTTAACTGAAACTGACATTTTTTTCATACAAAGTATTTCATAAACAGGACCTTGAACGGTTATTATTGTAGAAAAATTCAATTTGAAATTTGAACTTCCTTTAAAGTCCTGATGCTTTACATCTGATTTCATTGAAAATAGCCATCTAGCTAATGGTTGAAATGAGTTTCAAGAATCCCCCCCACCCCCCAAATCAAGGGTGGGAGAACGTAGAGATTGTGTACTTTATACATTTACTAAATAATTTTAATTCCAAACAAAGCCAAAACCTGAGATGCTGAAACTGTCAGATTTTCTCCAAGCAACAGAAAGAAGCTATTAATTGGGAAAGGAATCCTTCAATAATAATAAAAAAAAAACCACAAAGAAAAATAGAAAACAGAGTGTTTTTGTGTGTTAAGGTTAATAAGGTCCCAGTTCAAACGAGAACCATTGCTAATGCCACAAAGCATCAGAATTCTGAACAATGGCTGGGTAAAACTAAAGTACTTACATAAAACCCTATAAATTTACTTTGCCAGGGAAAGCAAAGGCAGCCTGTCTACTCTCTAGTCTCCACTCCTCCTTGAAGAGAACATTCTTCACTGCATAAAGCAGCTTCGGAACAAGCATACCATACAAAGAACACTATGTATGCGATCTCAGTAGAAAATACCCTCCCTGTGGAAACAGCATGACGGGGGAAATTGCCAACTAACTCATAATAAACCCCAGATCCATTTCTACCCAACTTCATAATCAAAGTTAACGATGTTGTATACAAATCGACACAGAACAATCAGAGTTAGACGTGCAGCCGAGGAAAAAATAAAAGCAGAAACGGAGACCAGAAAACAACAAGCACATTGGTATGAAGATTGAGTAAGCCACGGAATTACAACCATACAGCACACAATTAATCGATATACTGTGAACCCAAAAATGTTGAAAGATCTTTCTTTGAGTTCTTCGATATTATACACCCACGAACTATATAATCCAGAGAAACAGCACGAGGACATGTATTGGACAAGATAGAGAGCGTTAATAGGATTGATGAAAGGGGAAGATAATATCAGCTAACAACCATGGAAGAGTTAACATCAAAGGGTAACGCAAAAGGAGAAACGTGAAAAAAATGGGTGCTTTGTATTTTGAGCTGATTTGCATATCTTATCAAACTTGGGCATCAAACGCATTAAAGCAAGCGTGAAAAACTATTATGTAAGATGGAAGCTGAAAGAGTAGAATGAAGAGAAAAAGAACCTGTTGAAAAAGAGCTGACTTTAATGGCTGAACATAAGGGTGAATTCGCGGGGCATTATATGGGAGAGAGAGGTGAGCAAGAAAAACACTCGTATCTGCATTTTTAAACACGCCGAGTTGCCTTAAACAACTGAATCGGCCGAGTTCTTGAAGGCGAGTGGAGTTGACGTGATTGCAAGTCGTCCGAGTAATTCTGGTGATTAAAAGTTACAAGAAAAATACTCCCCTTCCCGAAATCATAACACATCGTTGAAGGAATAATGTTTTTTATCATTACCCTTCAAATAAAAGAAGAATTGAAATTTTTATAATTTTAAAATTATATTAAATAAAAGATATTTTTAAAAATTTATATTTTTGTCTCAAAAATGTAAATTTATAAAGTGAAATTGTTAAACTTTATTATTATACATAATTTTATTTTAAATTGTATTATAATTCAAAACAGAGAGCATGGCTTAGAGTTGAACGGTTGATATTTATGAAAAATTATCTCCTCTCCAGTACGTACATTGAATGAATCAATGTAGGCGTAGTATGTTATTGTTATAATGTAGGCGTAGTATGTTATTGTTATATTAAAAATTTAAAGGAATTAATACCAAAAAAAAAAATCAAAGAATCGGAATTAGTTTAATTTAAACAAGTTTGAATGGTATTTAAGTTCAAATTCTAGGCCAAAATATTATTCTTGAATTAACTCCAAAATGTAGGTTAAAATGCGGATTTGAAATAATTTATTCTGTGGATAAAAAAAGATTTTATTCAAAATCTAATATGAAAATATGATATAATGACGGCAATAAAAATAATATTGAATCAAATGTGCCTTTAATCAATACAGCTATTAGCTTAAAAGGATCACATCACGTACCAATAATTCTTTTCAATAATTTTATCTACTACTTATTACTCTTTCCTTAATAAATAACGAGTATATAGTACATTTGACGAACCAGCTTATAAGTTGATTTAGTGCTTGGTAAAGATCTGATCTCGTCATATATATTATACAGATAACGTGATGCAAACAGCTGATCTAGTATTTGTTACGTTATTATGAAATTTATACTTACCGATAAGTATCGTCACGTGCAATACATAGACGACATTTAACAATACGAATTTGGCGTTGAGCTTGTCTATTGGCTTATGTGCACTGTATAACACATCATCCCCATGCGCTTCCTATTCTATATGTACACTATTTAAGTTTTAAAACTCTATTTGAATGTAAATAATTTATCCCATTTTATCTACGGAAAAATTGGCCCGTTGGCCCCCAAAAAAAATCAGTGCTCGGAAAATATGAAATAATTTTTAAAATTAGGAAGATTATCGATTTACATCAATATATAAGAGATTTATTATTAAAAATTTATAAAAAATTTATCATTAATATACAATGATGTATCATTAAAAAATATAATAAACTAACCACAATGTAGAATATAATAAATATTGAATTGTTTGTTTAATTTGGTTCTATAATATGAACTATATTTGCAAAACTTTCTTTATTTATTAGTTCATTCTAGCATATTTTATCATAATTAAGAAAAAGCTTACTTCCTCCGGTTTTATTTATTAGACAAACACTTTTATTCTATTTGTAATTCACGTCTTTAATTTTTATAATAAATTCCTCCTTCTTATCCTTCGTTAAATATTGAAGAGAGAAAATATAATCTTAAAATATGTTTATTTAATATAAACAAATTTGATAACTTTTCAAATTTTTAAACAAGGTTAATGAGATTTAAAATTTTCATTGATTCTAATAAAACATGTTAAAAATGATTTATAAATAGGATTAGAAGAGTAATTCTCATTAACTCTGTTTAAAAATTCTATAATTTTTTTAATTTTACCCCAATTAAATATGCATGTTTTAAAATAAAATAAATATAATTTAATAATTTCATGGCATTTAATGGGGAGTAGGGACAAAAGAATAAAGATAGATATAATTAATAATTATTGAGATATACCATAAATAAAATCAAAACAAATACCCTCTCTATCCTAGAATTATGACCAAAGAAGTGTAGAGCTAAAATATAGTTATGTTTATTTTTTTTAGTATTATTTTTCTTCTTAATCATACCAGATTATCAACAAATTTTTTTAATATCCTAAATGTAACATCCTGATTTTTTATATAATAAAGAAATTGTGGAATTTAGGTTTTGAGAAAAAAAAATGATAATAATAGGAATTTATATTATTTGAGGTTATTTAGAAATAATATTATGGTTAGGTATTTAATTATGAATTTAAAAATTTAAATTTAAAATCACATAAGAAATATTTAGTTAAGATATAATACATAAATAATTTTTTTTATGTATGTGTTAAAAAAAAGAGAAGGTAGAAGGAACAAAAAAAAAGGGGGTGGAAGGTTGTTGTTTCTAAGTCCCACATTGGTTAGATGAGGGAAGAGAAGAGATGCCTTCATGTATAAAAAGGAGGGGTGTGTGCATTAGGAAGCATGAGAGGCTAAGATGCAATTTAGAGAAAATTGCAACTTTTGGCCCAAAGGTTTGAATAATTAAATTCAAACCTATAGTTTTTTTTAATATAATTTTGGGACTCACAATCCCATTTTTATATTATTTTTCTCTCTTCCTCTCACGTTGCTCGGCGTGTTCTCGCAAGGGGGGATTATTTTCTTTTTCTTCAGGTATGTTCTAACTTTCCTGTTTAGATTAGCATTTAAAAATTTATTTAATTATAAAATTAATTTTATAGTTATTTTCTAAATAATATTAGCTTTCTAGTGATATAATTATTTTGTAGGATAGAGTAAATATTTTGATTAGGATTTTTCTATAGGATAATTAATCTGATGATATGATGGATTAAAATAATAGGTTAAAATTCTTAGGGATATAAAAAATATTATAGAATATTTTTTTAAGGTTGAAACTCATGTTTAAGAATTTTTGAGTTAAATCTAGATCTATATGGTTGAATTTATGTGGAATCTGAGACGTAGGGATAAACCTATGATTATTAAATATTTATCTAAGTATGAATAGGTATTTTTGAGGTTATAGAAAGGTGATTTGAGGCTTCAGGATAATTCTAAAAATTTAATTTATTTTTGGATGAATTTTTAGAATATAGAAGGATGAAATTGTGATACTAGAAGTGAATTGAGGATAAAAAAAATAGTTCATTAGGGTACGAGAATTTTAGAAAAGAATTTGGAAAGTTAAATGAGGCATAAATCTTAAATTAGTGTTAATATGGACTATAGATCTAAGACTTTCTAACTCTTTAAATTAAAGTTATTTATTTTAATGTAAAATTAATATATAGTATTGTGAAATAATTATGTAGATTATATTGACAAAGATAGCGGTGAAAAAGGAGTTGTGAAGGGGAACTTGTTATTCAAGACACAAGGTAACCATTATTAATGTGTTGTGATGAGTGTGTTTGTGAATGGTTATGTGTTGTTTTGTTGTTTGGAAAAATTATGAATTATTGAAAATAAATACTGTATATACTTGTTTGAAATTATTGCCAAGTGGGTTAAAATTTATTTTTGTTTATCATGATGAGATATTATTGTTCGGATATATTCCTGTTTGGATATTTGAATGATGCATGACTTGTCAGGGTATTTTAATGTATGGTGTTAATGGGAATTTCTGTTCGGTTAATTATTACCACGTGGTAAGCCCTCATTGGACCCAATGAGTGGCGTGTCGCTTGGTCCAACTCACCTTTGGCCGGGTGATTTGGCGTCCGAGCATGCCGAAAGGAGGATATAAGGTGCAGTCATGCAAATTAAATACTTGTTCGGTTTGTTTGAAAGTATTGTTCGGTTAAATGTTTTGTGTGCCCACTTAGCAATCGCATGATTAGTTACATCCGCATGCATCATTACATATTAATTTTTGGTTACTGGGACTTTTAAGTCTCATTCCCCGTGGTTAATATTTTTACAGGAGCGAGTCCGGCCGAGAAAGCACCAGAGGTGTAACTGTGGTGTATGAGACACCATCTTTTATGTTGCCTCTTATTTTAGATTATACAATGTATCTTGTGCCAACTTAGGACATATCTTCTTTGTGAAGCATGTAAACTCTAATCCTTTTTATTAAAAGTATTTATATGACTAAGAGGATTATGTCTGTCCCTCTTGATTTATGATCTGATTTGAATAACATGCTATGAGGATCATGTCTGTCCCTCATGGTTCTAATTATTTTTTTTAGATATTTTAAGACCTGTGGTATATTGTCTTGGATGTATCGTGGTAGAAATTTTTCTACCATGATAAGGGTTCAATGAAAAAAAAATAAAAAAAAAGGATTTGTTGAATTAATAACTTGTGAAAAATCGGTCTGTAAATTTGAGGGTATTACACTAAACACATTTTATCATGGCCATTAATTTTAGAATAAAAAATTTAAAAAGTCAATTTTTTTTTTTACAAATTTAAGGAAACTAATAACCAGCATTTCTTAATCCAATGTATATTCTTTTTGTCTAACATTATAATGCATTTATTTCAAAGTATCATGTTAAAAAATATATAAAAAATTTGGGTCTTTCAAAGTACAGTTAATAAGTTTTTAAAAAAAATATTTCTTAATCAAGGGTGTAATTAGTCAGGCTTTTAAATTAAGACACCTTATTAAATAAAACAAAAAAATAAAAAAAGTGTCTAATTTTAAAATAATTAACTACCTCATTTAATCATATAATTACATTGAAAATATTTTGTAACATTGAACTGACTAGGTATATTTTATCATAATACCAAGAATTTCGTGTTCTTGTTCTTATTAGACAAATCACCGTAGTTACAGAGAGAAATTTAGAATGCAAATAACGGTATTTGTTTTTGAATCAATAATTATGAGAAATTTTGAGAGTAAATAAGTAAATTACCTTCTAAACTTTTGGTTAAATAGTACCATAAATTCTAAACTTGTTTATTGTGTAAATTATTCTATCAACTTTTAAAAATGATGCAAACGGACCCTTATCATTAATAAAAGTTAACTTTCACAATTAGTTAATTAGAAAATAAAAGCAAAGGACTTTAAAATTATAGAAAATGACTAAAAAATTATAATAAATATCCAAAAATACAAACAATGATCCTGAAAAAAATTTGGGCCATTGTTTGTAATTTCTTTTATGTCCTTTTCTGAGCAACTAACAATTAAAGTTAATTTTTATAAATGATAAGGGTCAGATTGTATTATTTTTAAAAGTTAAAAAAATAGTTTGCACAATAAATAAGTTTTGAGCTTATGGTGCTAATTGATCTAAAATTTAGAAGATAATTATTCACTTACCCTAATTTTTAAGTATCAATATAAAATATGGCTCCTGATAAGATACAAAGGAGCATGAATTACTATGAATGCCAGTAAAAAGGACTCAACTTTGCTGTAAAAAAATTAATAATAATAACTAGTTCGGTTAATCAGCGTATGATATTAATTTTTATCATGAGTAATGAGTTAGCAATTTTTTTTTTTTGAGTTTATAAAATTAAGGTACAAATCTATTTCCAAAATATCACTTGAGGGGCAATTGGTAGCCCTTAAATTATGAAAAGTGCAATGTTATCCCAAATCTTTTTTTTTAATGTCACCCAATTTTAATAAATCACAGATGTTGAGAATTAGTTTGACCAAGTAATGCTTAAGTGGTGATCTACATGGCCACTACAACATTCTTAGCCTATGACAACAAGCAAAAATTATTGCTATAGAGTGAAAAACTATTGTCTATCACTACAGGTGACGGTTCTAGATAGTAGAATATGCTATTGTTATCCATTGGCTAAGTTAACAGTTTTTTGGACTATGTGGCATTGTTTTAAAAACTGAATTAAATTGGATGGTCGGATCATCGATCGAAACCATAACAGCTCAATTTGAATCAAAAAATTATTTTTATGATTAAGCCAAATTGGACTAAAAACTAGAGTTAAATTGAGAATTAGAGCGATTTTTAGAAAATTGGATAGTTTTAAACATAATATTAAGAAAAGTTTAGAAAATTTTAAAAATTAGATCTCTATAAAAAACTAACTTTATTTTCATACAATTCACATATATAAAATATGATTCAAGACTTTTTTTATAAAAATATTGATATTTATAAGTGTAAATGTAGATTCTTTTAAACTTACTCATCTATAATTTAACTAAAATTCACCTATATTTGATAAGTTATAAAATTATAATTTATAATATTAATTTACAGTCATGTTATATCATTTTACTAACGAGGCATACTCTAGATTTGTTTTTTACATTTATTTTATATACATATTTAATAATATTTTTATTTAATTATTACATTACCGATTCAATTATTGGTTTAACTAGTTAAATCATAAAAATCAAAAATAGCTTTTTTTTTTTTTGAGTCAATGTTCATTCTGGCTTTTAAAACATTGCTTTGTGATCATGGATATTAAAATCGTTGCCTATAATTTAACTATAAGCAACACTTTAGCAACTAGAGTTACAAGCAACACTTTTTTATTGTTGCTGTTTTCAAATAAATGATAATAATATATATATATATATATATACACAAAACTAAATCATATGAAAATAAGTCATGTAATTTTCTTCTCTTGTTTCATTTAAATAGTCATTAACTATAAAATATATGTTTTGCCATAAACTAAGTTTGGATTTCTAAAAAATAATAAATAAAGGGACAAATAGGAACTTGACTTGATCATTATATAATTCTAAAAGTATTTATAACTTTCAAAATACAATGAATTTTATAATATTACTAAAGATATAATACCAAGTACAAATACTTTCCGGTAAAACACAACTCTAAGAGCTTACAAAAAAGACGGAGTTATCATAATTTGGCTCCTGCACTCAAAGTCTAAGATATTAGAATCTTAAAAAAAAAAAAAATCACAGATAATAACCTACAACGGCAAAACCAAAGTCATACCATGAAAAGATTATACAATCCATACGTGACTACGTGTTTATATTTAGAACAAGTTTCCAATCTTCTCGTAAAGTTGTTGAGGAAAACATTTCTTTCCATGTCAACATTTGGACACTAGACCTTCGGAGTTCATTATGCACAAAAACTAATTAGACATGCGCTACATAAATAGAGCAACGTATGAGGGGACAAAAGTATGCAAGATTGTCATAAATTGTCTTGCACTCGATTTTTGGTGCTTCATGCAACTACGCTTCATATCTAAATAGATAGATTGGAGTAGAGCTACTATGTCTCTCCTAGTTTTATTTTCTCAATAGGCACAACCGCACAAAGTCTAGTATAATAATCAGATAAATGGATTAGTGGTAAGCTGTAAGCCAACGATATGACGGATTGACAGTGACATTATTCTGCAAAAAGTTGAAGAATTGAAGGCTACTCTCCTACCTGTCAATATGACAGTAACATTTCATTTTCAAGCTGCTTGATCAAAACCTGAGAAGCACAATGAACAGGTCTTACCAAATTGGGCTTTTATCTCAATCTGATTGCATTCATATCCATGCCAAGTCTCTAGTGAGTTGCTTGGCACGCCCATGAGCTGATAAATTCAACACACCAGAATGAATCATCTTAATAATCACAAACCAGGTAAACTTATATCTAAACCAAAAGGGTATATATGATCAATAATGATAAAAGGCTTATAAGAAGATTGAGACTTGCCAATACAGAGCAGTTTTGCAACGTGAGCAAGTTCTCTCCTAGTTATTGTTCATAATTTCCCACAGAAGGAGCAAGCATCATCCAAGTCCACTTTTGCAGAACCAATCTTCCCATCTTCATCTTCAACCTTTCTGTCTTCTCCATACTCTGCTTTGGAGCAGTAATAATAGGATTCTCTTTTTATCTTCTAAGAAAAGCCGCCACAGGAATAATATGACCATCATCATCATTGTGAGCTTGAAGAACCATATAAAGTTCAAAAACAACCCATCAAACACCTTCAAGACACTGTGATTTCACTGAGTTAAGAAATTGGAAGGGCAAGTTTTGGGCCTTAGAACTGCCATGTCTTGTTCCTATCCTGTTATGATACTTACTCTCACTCTTTAAAGTTAGATCGAAAGCAAGTACCAGGAAATGAGGACCAATAAACTGGGGTAAACTAGAAAATATTTAAAAGCTTGGACTTGAACATTGACTTGCCTTAATGTCCAGTACTCAACTTGATCTTGAAAGAATTAATGATACCTTTAATTCTAATAAGCTTGTAATAAGTTCTAAATGAGAGCTATAATCAAACCAGTCTTTAACCTCATATACACACACTGAGACATTCATGTTAACCAAAAAAAAGAAGTGTCATGGTAATTTTTAACTCCATTATTCATGAAATTTGATTGATATGAGATTTCGAATACAACTCGCATTCCATAATGGGATGACCAGGTAAACTAAACACAAATAATTGAGTTCGTACATGAAGGCCAACAACACAAGAAAAACAGAATCTTGAAAATATTTCACTCTATCATTCTGTTATTTTCCATTTTTGTACAAGGCAGTTGAGAGACAAGGGAAATGAATCCATACAGATGCAACTGTTTTCATAACGCATAAAAAAGACAAAATAGCAACCCAACTTTCACAATGTAAACTCTACGATTGGGCAATTCTAAAGTATCAAAAGATAAAACGCAATAACCATCTCTTATATGTGTTAATGCTAGCCCACTTCCTCTTGTGAAAAAAGATGAGTGTTTTTATGTTATTTTGTTTAGTTTTTATTGAAGGGAAAGATGAGGGATTTTTAATGATTCTTTATTTAATTTAGGAGAGAGGTAATAATTAATTTATCATATATATCCTTGTATAAAATAGCTTTACACCTTAATTAAATTGCACGATTTATGAAAATTCACTCTCATTAATGATCACAATTTTATTAAAAAGAAAATAAACTCCCTAATGGCTTCAAAGAACAGAACGTAGAAGGACTTAGTCCTAATGAGAAGGGAGAGCTACAGTATGTTGCATATGCAAACAATAATGCTGCAAGATTGGTGGATTGGAGTGGCATGGAGTCTTCATTGTCCCGTGATAGATGTGAATGGAGGTAATCTCATTGTGGGAAAACTTATACAGTG